GGGAGAGGGAAAGAGCGAGTTCGGGTGTGCTGGTGGCCTCAAGAATTGAATGGAAGAAGAAATGGATTTCAATCGCTATTTACATCTCAGTCCAAGGGTCTCATAAGTGACATCAAATTTTACGCCATTTCTTTGGCAAACTCTCAAATTGCTCCAAAAACCTAAGTACCGAACTAGAAAATCACTTGATTTAAGGTAACTTGACGCTTAAACTCCTCATAAATACAGAACAAGAAGAAATAATATGTAAAACTACTTTTAATGATGCACAAAAATCAAACTCTACTGATATTAAAAAAAATCACGACTAACGGTTGTGCATTTACTATGCCCTTACAAATGAGCTGCTATGTTTAAGAAAATTGTGTGACGTTTGAGGCAATAAATGGATGCATTTGTATTGGGAAACACGTCGTTCTGTCAGGTGTAAGCAATGTCCAAAAACTCACGTTTCAGGACATTTTTCGGGGGTTAAACACATGAGACAGTTTCCTCGGTCCGCGAAAAGGATTAGTGATCGCAGTGACGCTGGATGAAATTTCAGTGGAGGGGACTATGCTCTGCCCAAACAAGCTTCTCATTCCAAGTTCAAAAGTGCCATCAAAGATGAAATTAGTTAAGACTTGGTCTATGGGATGTTTTCGTACCTCCTTTATTAGTAAAACTTACATTTATTCGAAATTCAAAATCTAAAATTGCTCCGTAACTTTAGAATGTGAGACCTAAGCTGACAATAAAAGAGATTGCATGCTTCAACTAGAATATCCAATTTGCAATATGGTATTGTCCAGGTAGCCTTTTTGAACTTCACTTGTTGCCTACAGTAAGAAATTACTCAATTCTTTCGAGAATTCACTGTGTTGTGTGTTCTAATGTTCTGCTCATTGGGCTGCAAACAACACAATGAGCCAGTACGCTTCATCCCTGCACGAGGTAAGTCATCAATCGGCGCATGAAGACTGTACATGCACTTGCCACTAAACTTGAAGTACATAAAATGCATAGATGAAGCCATTCAATGACTTGTACACAAAGATTGCACTCTTAATTTATTACAAATACACAATAATGTGGTGTTTTGCAACTAAGAAACGCTTATTTTGTCAAATGTCTGTCGTCATCGGCACAATTCTTCTCCTGCGAATTTACTAGAAGCTCAGGCCACAGTTGCAAGCAATGAAAATGTATTTGCTGCTTTATTAACAATTAAAATATAAGGAATATCAGGCTTAAAAAATGGCACAAATTCTCATATGCTTATTTTATCTGCACCTTGTCAAGAGATCCATATCAATAGCAAAACATTTTAATGGGCAATGCCGTGAACGATCCGATTGTTCGCAAAGAAGGAGAAATTAATTAAAAGTGGATTCAGACAACCAAAATGTACGCAGTTGTACACACTACGACGACGGACTGCGTGAAGAGCTGAAAGCAAAGTGTGAAAGGGCTTTGTGATTTCAGTTGCAAATAACAGCATCCCCTGGCAGACGGGTGTGCAGGACTTGGCCAATAGCATGCTGACCTGACTTAAGCGTGATCCGATTGGGTGATTTGGCCTCATGAGATGGTCGTCTCTGACAGAAAATATCTGTTCAATATATACCAAAATCAAGCTTCCTTCATATCAGCTATCATCAGAGTGATGATACAAGCACAAGTGGCCCAAATGACTACGTCAAAACTCACAACCTATTCAATCATCATTTCCGGCATTATAATTATCCTATGTACTAATTTCTGTACAAATGCCAAAACACACCTGATCTATTGGAGTCCACTTAATATAATGTAAGTCTTCACTGCTCCATAGAATCTTAATGCTATCGTAATGCTTTATATCTATTAAATACCCTAAAATTAACTTCCCTAGCGCTTTCGGTGCCTATCTTAAGGCACATCCCACTCTGCTTTTCATAATTTCGTAGGGGAGCTGATGAAAATCCATGTATAATTGTGCGAGATATCATTATCATTTTCAGATGAAATGTTTTGCAGGTGGAAGATGAAACAGCAAGCGAAAATATAAAAATGAGAATTCTTAAATATTCCAGTTTGAACAATATTTGCATCTGATGCAATTCGCCATTAACTACACTTGTAAATCTCATGAAATGCGTACTTCGCTCGAATCTGGCAGATAATGCAGTAGTACCACTGTAGTATATTTCATCAGGCCCATTTAAAATCATATCGGCGGTGGGTTTAAAATTCATACTTCCATTCAAAGCACTTTGAGCTCATTAAAAAAACTATAACAGGTCGAATTAATAGTTAATTTTAAAATCTGTAAAAGTTAGGAATAACCCAAGGAGAACAGGAGAAACCATTTCCAGCTATCATAAGTATACGTAAATCATGGTTACAATAACGGTATATTTTGGTCGACTAAAATTGTAAATTTTTTAAAGCGTATACTTTCACCAGATTTTATGCTTATCAAAGCACCAGTTACAAAGTTGTCGCAGAATCGTGAATTCAAGCCAAAGGTAAAAAGTTGTGAGTGACGAAAGTGGGAAAAGGAGCTCACGAAAACAATCTAAAGAGGATCTTCTATTAAATCTTTTTGTAAAACATATTTTGTAAGGAATCAGTAATACTAGTACAGAACATAGCAGAGTTAACGTGGCGGCTCCTTCTTCAAATAGCCCATCACTAACAATATTGGGAAAAATATAACCCCATTGATCGTAATTTGATATTTTGAGGGAAAGTGCTGCTGTTTATTATACTAAAGTGCTGCATGTATACATATGTATAAATGTCTGTTCATTAAGATAAGTAGGAATTCCCATTTCCTTTTCAACCTAAATATCATTTTAAAACTAGTTTTAGTCTACAAGTTTCGCAAGTAAGATCAGATCATTTTAGCACATAAAACTACGTCTTCTGATACTTCACTAACATCCACTCCCTCTTCAGCATTGCCACAACAGTGGCCGAATCTAATTTTGATTTCCCCGTCATGAACACTGGGGCTGCCAGTCCTGCTAGTTGCATGAGAATTGGTCAGAGATGTTGGGATTTCGTGCAGCTGATCTGAAACCCCGTCAGCAGTACATGTAACAGCATGTCAGATTTGTATTATCTCAGATTTCAGAATTAAGAATTCACGAATGGTTGCAGCCAATACCTAAAAGACGACATCAAGACATGCACATGATTGCCTTACAGAGTCGCTTTGTAGCTCCTGTGTGCAACTGGCGTTTAAATACATCCTTGAAAAAGCACTCACATCATACTTGAAGAGCATTTACTTGAATAATTTTGACGTCGCCAATTTTGATGAATTTTGCAACAAAATTCAAAACTAGTTTTTGTTAGAGAAGCACCGTTTTGTATAAATCGAAACACTTGATGCCATATACACACATGAATTGAGGTACTGAAACAAAGCAATTGCATGAGGTCCTTTATTAGGAAGTTAGGGCAAAAGTGGAGGCAGTTTTTGCAATTAATTCACATGCCACATGATAATCTATCGTTTTTCTGTAAATATGGTAAGTTAATTACCCGAGTTTGTCCACTCGCTCAAAAAACGAGAAGAATAAGTTAGTAAAAACCTCCGCTCCATGTGCTTACTAAGTAGAAGGGGTTGAAGTCAGTTAGTACTAAAGCTAACTTTCACATTCACATTCAGCTCAGGCGTTGTGAGCATCGGGATAATTTAACAATCCGGTTCTACATTTCTTACGCTGCGTTGGACAACTGCCTACTTAGTAACACGTCTGCATACCGCGTATAAATTGAGTTTGTGGGCACAAGCAGTGCGTAGAACCTGTCCATTCAAATGAAAAAGTTTGCTCAGCAAAAGGCCACGTGCAACGTCCATCGTCTAAGTACCGTCCTTCCATTCACCCATAGTTAAGCCCCGATAGCTTACTATCGGTTTTCATACTGCATGAGTTTAATGGAAACATCTGGAATTTGATATTAAAGGTTTTAAATTTTTAATTTTGAAATTCAGAAGCTGATCAGATGTGATCCACTTCCTCGTGGTTAAACTTCATGTTCACCTTCTGCTTGTGCTCATGTGGAATGTCAATGAAACGTCAAATTTGGTCATTTACCATGGACTGCATTTACCTATTCTAGACCACGCATTTGGCTCTTTCATTAAAATCCCGGTGTAAGTGAATATTATCTTACTGAACAGCGTTGCTAAATAACCCATGTGGGTGTTGCTTTGGACGTGTCTAAGAAACCACGTATTTCCTAACAATGATGCGTATTATTACCAGCTGTCTACAAAGGACTCAAAAGTACGTATAATAGCTTTAAACGAAGATGACAATTCGCACAGTGAAATGAATGACTACCGGTAAATATGTCAATTCGAATCACACTTTTGCATTGGGAGCCACCTGCATATGCTTGCCCCCAAGATATGAGGGGAACTTTAAGACTCTCAAGCCCATTGTTATTACTGCATCATCGTTTACCCCTATGTCTGAGGGGAGCGTGGAATCAAATAGTAGTTGAGAAAGGGAAATTTTACACTTATGCCAACCGCTTTGCATCGTTCATGGTCATAATCGTGTTGCTTACACGTGCATACTCTTCAACGAAATTATTAAAGAAAGGTTTCACTTAATTCAACTTCTATGCTGGCCAAAATAAACCAAGTATAAGCATACGAAGTACTTTTAAATTATGCGAATGATGAAAATAAAAAAAAATGATGTCGGAAAATTCAATAGCCTATTTTATTTGAAATTAGTAATGCTACTTCATGAACTATTCAATTTACATTGTTGGTGATATATTTTCAACAAAACATCTTTTTCCGGATTCGTGCAAACGGGTAGGATTGTATGTTTCGGTCTGGACTGGTCAGTGTTAAATGCTAATCAATTTGGTGGGAGTTGCCGTCAACACTTCCGGTTTTCAGTTTTAGAGTGAAACCTGCAGCAGTACTTCATGTGGAACAGCGGGATAGGGTAATTTTTGTCTGTCCCAAGGACGAATATTTCATTCTCTGGGTGAGTGACTTGACAAGCATGCTAAACAAAACTGCGATTCCCCCTTTGCGTCCCTCCTTATCCTCGCCCCTGCCCCTACCCGCCGCCTTCCCCTCACGAGTGGATGCGCTTTCGAGTGCGGGCATACAAATTTTTCACTTTTCTACTTTTTCATCCTGTGGCCAATCACTGTGCAAATTGGTGCCATCAAATCCACAGTTGTCTGGTATCGGCACTCGCAGATTAATGGGCGCACAAGAACTACTTTGTTTACGAAATCACAAGGTGCAAAGAAGGAGTTCTACTTAAAAGTGGGCTTGATTGAAATAAACAATTCTTTAAACGCCAGAACAGTATCGGTTTAGTGAAGACTTAGTACCATTTGTTGCCATTTTATTGCAGTACACATCCTAATCAAATGTTTGGCGTTACGCAATCAGAGTATCTCAATGTTAGGATTTCTAGCTTATAAACATTTTATAAATATGATTTTGGAAAGCAAATGGTATCATTAACAATAACGGCTAAAATGGATAGAACAAGTGGCTTTTAACGGAATCTGAAAAAGGTGACAAGTTGAGCTTTGACCCGCTCCGGTAAATACGGCATAAAGTCCTCACCACCGCCAATGCGATACCACGAGCACTTCACAAGGATCATGCAAAGATCTGTTGGAAACATCTTGATTGATGTAATGAGCAGGGTCTATTAGACATTTGTATGACAGGTGCTGCGAGCAGCGCCTCCTTAGCTGGCATTGCTACAGGTGATTAGTTTTACACGTCATTGTTTTCATGCAAAATAAAATTTAAGATTTTTCATTAAATGTCCGACTAGGGGCTGTTAGAAAGCTCTAGAAGGGGCAATTTTAATTTATGAAAACAATAGAGCAATCAATAGAAGTGGAAAGTTTTTTAAACCTACAACTAGGATTAAAACGACTTAAAGAGGCAATTTTCACTACTTATAAAGCGCAGAAACATTTGCCTCTCATAAATTAAGCAACATCTGCTAGCTTTTATTATAAATTTGAGTTAATTTAAATAGACGCTTGACAGCGAAAAATGGGCACAGACTACCGGTCTTGGCTCTAGACTCTTCAAAATCATAAGTGCAAATCAAATTATATTTGGTTTTTTATTCGTTTTCAAAGAAGAAAAGCATGAATTTTAACTTATTAATCCAGTCTGCTTTTGTAGACCTACAAAAAACACGCCTTTGACAACTGTTCAAACCCAATTGACAATGGAAATACTGTCAACATTCTCTATCGGTGTTCATTCAGAGATCCTATCAATACGGCGGTGCCTAAGGGCGTGAATCTTTCTGAGATGAATATTTGGTTGCCACAGATGCCAGTCACTAATCGCTCCTTTGCCGCCACCGCTTCCACCTCGCTGGCCTTCAGACGCGCTCGGCTGCCATCAGTGGCACGACAACCCCGCGGCCCCGCCAAGCGATCGGCGGGTCGAGTGGAGGGTGAGACGTTCACCCTGCTGATAAACGAGTTTGCCTGGTCAACGGGAACGCCAAGCTTCCAGAAAGATCGACCCGTTTACTTCACAGGTTGGCCTAAGCACTCATTCACACTGACTGTTGAACCTGCAAAACTGGCATTATAGGTACTTATGCCATTCAAATGAGCCGCATATTTCAATGCACACTTTTCACCAATTACCTCTTTATAAGTTGTCTAATCGGACTACTAAAAGATTTGTTGGCAAGTTCATCTTCAGTTCCTTATTTTTAGTTACTTTACGCTTAAATGAACTCAGAAAAGCACCAATGGAAAGCATTGTATTAAGATACTTCAAGTCTCCCGAGATGCCCCATAATGATATTTAGTGGATGCGATTCGAATTTGTAGGCATAAATTGAGGCAGGTATGGGAATTTGAAAAGTGGCATCAAACAAAACTTGTTAATGTGTAAATAGGGCTTCCGTTTTCCCACTTGAAGCAGTGGTGGATAAAGAGCAAGTGAATCGTATACAGGATGTAATTATTTAAATTTCACTAGAGTACCGAATTTTCCACCCAAACCTTTAGTTACCATTTATCCGCTTCTGTAAGCGAATCAGGAGGTAAAGTTGTTTAAAGAGCAGAATTTCATGTCTCAATTAAAAAAAGCGTATTGGCATTTCGCAGATAACTTGGAATGCATGACTTAAAAGGCTAATTATTTTTTGAGCGTGTGATTTAGTTACACGACTGTAATAAATCAGAAAGTGGGAACCTTTTTTTCTTCAAAAAGAAAATCGCCATAACGATTACACGGTTGCCTTTTGCAATCGAATTTCAATGACCAGTTGACGATTTTTAAAACATTAAATTATTCTTCAGACCTCTTAAATGTTATGAACTAAAATTTTGGAAGAGTATACGACTCCACTTATAGCAACTTCTTGCGATTGGGATTAAAAGTTTTGTATCGGAAGATTTTTTGTCAGAGCACTTTGTTTATCAACGAAACCGGCTTCAAAGTACAATTCAAGCATTCCAGATACATTGATTACAGGTTTTTCTTCGAAAAGAATGCGAATTACACCCTTCAAGTGGGTCATTGAGTCCTTTCATCAAACGTACATCAGTTTTGTTCAAGTTTTCAGAATTTTGGGTGAAAACTTTAATTTATCATGTTTTATTTTTTTCCTATCTAGCCTAAGCGAAAACTAAAGATCATTAATTTCCTTATGCTTGTTCTTACTTAAAGCGGCAAATGATTACCTGGAATTCTTTCGGACAGTAATGCATGCGTTTCACCTGCGAACCAGTACAACTGCGTATTGTGTTACATGATTCGAAAAGCAATTTAAAGGTTGTGTTTCAATTCCTTGTTCTGATTTGAATGAAATCGTCTAAATAACACCACACGTAGGTTGAGACATCGCCTTCTTGGAATGTTGTTGAGCCCTTTTTCGTAGTTAACAACTAAAAAATCGGTTTACTCGGTGATCTGGTCAAGGATCGCGAGATTAAACATCGAGGATAAATGATGATCTAACCCCAAAAAACATTGTTGTTTTACTGCATCACATACTCCATCCTTTGTTACGAAGAAATCCAAAGGAGTTCCAACAGTGTTTATCTGTCCTCCTGGTATTTGTTTTTAGTAGATTGGTAAATATCGAATTTCTTTGTTTTTGAGCAGGATTTATTAGTGCTACGTGGTGTTCATGACCATAATGTGCTGATTTTCTAGTATTCGAGCATACTAGGATGGTTTTATAACTGCAATAAAGTTCCTTTTTTAGCTCCATCTTATCACTTCATCGTCGAAGAGGTACATTAAGTACGGATATTGGAAAAGTGTACTGCAATGCAGATTCCCGAGGAAAGTTTTACGATATTTATTACCTATAACAGCTTGCTCCCTAAATTACAAAACGGGGTTCTGAAGTCCTAACAAATTCATTAGAATGCTATCAAATCAAAAACTATAACATCAAATAAACCGCATCTTGGTGAGACGATTCGCTGCCATTTTAATCACTACCCCTGTTGTGTAGTATGCCTCACTATTTCTCGTCTCAACTCACGAAGAGGATTGTAAGTGCCAGGTCTAGGTGTGTTCTCACCTTAATACTCCCTCAGATGCGACTAAATTATTCAAGCACATGTTTTGAATGTTTGGACTGCAAAGACAAAAACGCCTTATTTTATGTTGGACCCGGCGCCTCGCCTCAGAGGAGATGGACTTCTTTTAGCATTGGCAAGGCGTGTACAACTTTCATTGATGCTTCTAATTTCGTAATTGTCATTTTCTAAAAAGAAACATGCCAACTAATTGAAAAAACTTAATGATTACCCTTACTTTTGGTAGTCCTAAATTTGAGCCACAGAATCGGGATGGTTTTAAGAAGAGATGGGAATATCTGATTTGAAGAGGGGAGGAAAATACGTGGATTGCCTTTATGTGCCTAAAAGGTAACTATATCAGAGACCCATTCATCAATTGACAAAGACTGTTTATTCATCCCATGATCAAAATGCGCAATTAGACATTTCCGTTTCATCCTGAAGTGGACTCAAATCAACGCAATACAAGTGGTGTTAGCAACTCTATTGATAAATGGAGTAGGTAATTCCAGTTATTCCTCACATGGAGTGGAGCATACCTTGCAGGGAGTCATTGTTGTATTCAGTAAGTCACTTCGTGCAAGCGGTGTATATAATTACGGGACTCCATAAATTATTCACAAGGATCAGTGCACGTTATCATAGGTGCACACAACATGCAAAAGCAGAAAAGAGTACCATCATCCAGTCTTCTTGTATGTATTTGTAAAAAACAATGATGCATATAAGAAGATTTCGGTTTCACTTGGCCTCATGAGGTTTGATTCCATTTTTATAGTGAACAGTCCACATCACTTGGAATACCACTTTTGCAATCACCATTAGATAGGGTAAATTATAAATGCGCCTGAATACGTAGTATCAGTGGTGAACATTTCAAAAGACGTCTAATTGAGACGTCAACGTTGCTTGTTGCAGCTCAACCAAAAATCTGTTTGGAGGAAAACATGAGGCTGACCATCGTACAGGGCGAAATCGCTCGATCCAGAGATGGTAAGTCTCTTCTATTCAATCATGCATTGTTTATAGTCTAGTACCACGTACAATGGGGAATATTCATTGCAAGCGTTGATCCCCCTATTATGGCATGTCACAATGTGAAATTGGTATGCATTTCTTGGGAACTCTATTCGCACGAGCTAGAAGCAACTGTCCGTATTTTTTGTGACTAAATTCCCCAATTTTTTTCCTTAATAAATTTGATTTTAATTACGTTCACGCATGCGGTCCTTCTGGCAAATGAACTGACTCCACCACATATTTGGGGTTTGTGAACCCAGCTAAAACCATCTTTAGGTCGCAGACCGACATAGAATTCAACTATTTAAATCCTTTCCTAAAATAGTGGAATTTAATTACAAGTTATGCTGGATTTTTTGCATTTTAGTTGTTGTATAGGACTTTCCAATTTTACTTTAATAAAACCTCATTGCTTGCCTGACACTTTACCGAAATCTATTGAGACTGATTTGGTTTCGCTCTAACTAACAATAAAAACCGAAATATCGGTTCCTCTTAAACTGGTAGCCATGATTAATTAGCCTAGATTTGTGCACTATTGAATTAATACTCATCTGCTTTGGATTATTCTACGCATTGGTTTATACCCGGAACTATCGAGACTAGTTTAAAAACTCGAATTAAGCCATCAGTTGTCCAACTTCTTCTATTTTGAAAGAATTCCTGGAGATTGTCGGGCAGTTAGCGCTTAATGGTTGGGTATCAATGATGATTTTGGAACTGATAGGTGCTTTCGTGTCCAATATTCCAGATGCTATTCCGCAAAGAGGCTTGGCACGTAAGGAGCTCAGAGCCTCAGTGTCCGTACGTCAAACCATCCAGAACTGCAGCGTGTGGGAAATGTGCAGCCAAAATGCGTACAATAATTACACCATGGGGGCGAACGGATATTCCATTCAACTCCTATCAATTGCTTTATTTGTGTTGTTACATATTAACAGTTGATCACTGAGACACCTGACACGTTGTACATATTCTTTCCTAGAGAGTAGGCACTTAATGCTCTGCGACAACTTTAAGTTCTTGTGATTTTGATCTTTTTCATTTGAAAATGATTTATGGTTTTCATTCTCAGTCATTTAATTCTTAAAGTTTGCACATCCCCTTTGTTTGCTGAAAACGGTTCATTTTAACGTAAACAAGAGGTGCCTATCGGTAAAAGGGTAATGTCAAATGATCAGGCAAGTTCAGTTTCTTGCATTACAGATCCTTGTATCTTGATCATTCACGTGCATAGGTGGCACAGGAAATTAAAAACATTTTAAAAAGGCTGTAAATTGCCACAAACACATCTTCAGGGCCGCCACACGGGGTCGAATAGTGAGTTGGTTGGTTTTAGAGTGAGGCAAATAAGAGATTACTCATTTTAATCTCACTTCTTTAGTTTAAAAGGACTTCATTCGCAGTACCGACTGGAAATGTATACGGTTAATTTCTTTAAATGTTTTGATAATAATGGCACAACCTTAATTTTGCTTCAAGTCAGCTTTTCGTTCATCTATGAACTATTCTCGCTGCCTTTCCCTGCTTGCAGTGTTTATCATCAAACGAAGATTTATTAGCCTCGTCAAATCCATGGCGCAAAGATATGGGATTTTGACGTGCGCATTCAGCGACATCCGAAATTTAATTCAATGACAGCCTATTTTATCATATTATCATAAAAATAAAAGCCCAGTTGCGTGTACTCCATGTGCATTTTTGGCTGCATTTAAAAAACCTCAATGGATTCTCAGTAATATCGTTACATCCTGTACAAATTAACAACTAAAATTTTTGTAATTTAATAGTTACAACAATTTTCAACTTTTCCCAACGAGAGGGGTTTATGAGATTCTTATCGTATGCCTGGGATATTCCATAACAGTGCGTTAAATATAGGGAACTCCATATAAAACTTGGGGAAAGTAGGTGCGAATACAAGCTTGAAATAGCTCTAAAGTGTTGAAATTAGTCTCCCGCCCCTCCCCCCTGCTGATCATCGCTGATGGGTGTTTCCTCCCAAAAGCCAAGTCACTTCTCAAGAAAACCATTAAAAGAGCAGCGCAAATGCAAACACCCTTTTTACTAGGTCAGTGCCTACACTTTTGGAGAAATCAGCACAGCACAGTGCTAACGACTCAAAGAGAATTTGCTCCCAGGCAATGCAATTTACGAAGCATGAAAAGCTTCCTAAAATGCACCACCATTCATAGCGGAGCATATCGGCTTCTTTTGATGGAGAAGGACCTCCCATATTCCCTCCTTCTCGCGTCCGTTGTGGCTTTTCAAAGCACTATGCTCGCGAACCACCAACGCTCTTTAAAAATTGTTTGAATGACTTTTTGTCCTAAGTCTATGTCAAAGCTTGGGGAAGGCCCTTTAACCTAAAATCTTGTGACAATGAAAAATGCTATCAGACGGTTAATTGGATGCGATCTGTGGATTGTTTATCTATCTGAAAGTAGGGATGTCATTCGCAGTAGGGTAATTAGAAAAAAAAAATGAAGATAGTTTACCCGACTTTGGTCTTTTGAAGCCTTATTCTGAGGCATTTACAATCGATCAGCGGAAAACATTTGAACATTCATTCTATAATGTGCTACATGCACTTAAAGGGGAAGTAAGTAGAAACTACCTAAAATATTATTGGCATAATTAGCTACCAGGTTTGCAAAAGTGACTAACGCTTGTTATTGGGGTTGAATGGCCAACCTGGAAGTGGCGACTCAGACCACGCGAGGCTCAGCTGCAAGGCGATAGCCAGATCAAGAAAACCGTCCACTGTGCTGAATGCGTGGGGGAGCAGTGACCATTAGTACCTTGGACATTGACACGAGCAAATTGCCAAAGTCAATTTAGTGCTTAGGAAGCGCCTTATTCGAAAAAGCGTGGATTTTGTTAGCATTACTCAAATTCGGGCGTAGGGGCTGTTATGTATCTCTGCTGTCGCAATTTTTTGTTTCACAACCACTCTTACGTCAAATACACGTGGATAAATGGCCAAAGATGCGTCCACGTGTACTACTAAGTGCACTTCGGGCTGACAACAATGCAGAAGAGAGTGGCTCTGAAGACTTTTAGTGCAACGTTCCAAGTTGAGCCGCTAACAAGTCAAATTACTCTAAAATTAGCTAAGGATTTTGCATTGATAAAGAAAGGCACATTTAGCATTTTTGGACCATTCAAACTAGTTTTTTGCCGTGATTTCGAAACAGTAATTGGAAGTGAAATGCTGCCACAATCCATGATGTTGGTGTCACAGAAGTTAGAAGTGATTTTCATCTTGAGATAGTCTCTAAGACTAGTTTTCTTTAGTGGCTCAGGGGATAAATGTGACACCATTTTTCGTGAACAGGGAATAACTCTTTATTAGCCCTAATTCAAACTATCTTTTTGCGTTGGTGTTTCCAGTTTTCATTCAAAGCAGACGCTTTTATGCCACCCGATGGCATCAGAACTGCCATTTTATCTTTGTTCATCTTAACATAAACATGAGTTTGTCTCCTCATTTTATTGCGGACTCTAAAAGAAACATGCGCGTGCTGAAGTCATCATTTTATGCCTTAAGTCACGAAAGCGGGAGCAATTCCTCTTCCTTCGAATTGTTCACGCATTTCCCACGCACTCCCGATGACTGGATTACATGGAAACTGACAAAAGGGCAAACAAGATCCCTCTAATTTTTCTTGCATAAATAGCGCACTTTGTTTAAGATGCATCATTTAACTTTTACCTGCTTGTAGATATTCCATTTAGAGCTTAATAATGTAAAGTTACAGAACAGCAGACTTAGTATGCTTTTTGAGATTCGATTCAGGCGGAAACGTTTGTACTTACTTTTGTTAGAAATGGAAGTAATTTACAAAATATAGCAGGAGGAGAACCTAATCGTACTCATATTACCACTACCTTCTTTAGGAGACTTTTAGTAGGTTCATATTGCCTTATATTCCAACTGAAACTAAATGTCACTTCTGGACCTTATATTCGGCTCAGAGACCCAACCATTCAAAACGTAAGTTCATTAGACTTTCACATCCATTTTATCGGCACACCACCGCTATTCAGTCGCCCTACGGAAACTGAAATTGGCTCACACAAGAGATACAAATTAAACTGTAATCACATGCTGCTTTGGTCGAATAAAAATAGCTTAAGCGACGTTTTTCCGATTTTACTCCTTGTGATTTCAGCAGACAGATGGCTTTTAAAGGCATAGTCCAAGGAAATAGACGGGCAGCATGAACAATATAAGGATGTAGGGATGTGTTACTGAGGACACGAATAATTAAATGCTAATAGTATCGCTACTTCACATACCTTTCTTAGGGCATTACAGCAAATCTGCTGCCCACTTAGATTTTGTACAACTTGTACTACAACCTATTTGCTTATATCCATACCCACTGGAAGGAGGATTTAGGCCAAAACTTTCAATTCCTATTAAGAGGAAATGGGGACATTTCAGTAGGTACTCATGGTGATATGCGAATATAGCACATGGGCAAGTATGTCAATTTCGTGGACGGAGTATGATGTCCGTATCAAGTTCATTTCAATGGAGGGCTATATGGTAATGGCAATTCAGATAAATGCTACGTAATACGATGTTGAAGTAATATAAAGCCAAGGCTTAAACCTTAACATTTTCAGTCATGCATCCAGGTTCAAATATACTACTTTATTTACACCTATGCACAGTGCGAACTGTTCATCACCTATAGAGAATGGAGTGTATTTAGAAATGAGTAGTGCCTTTGACGTGTTTCACATTACGTTCATCCCACTACCAACCCATCTGTCCCGAGAACCACAGTAAGGCTATTGAAGTACCACATTTCAGAATAGAAGAATAATATTCCTGCTCTGAAGTATAAATTTTTAACAGAAAAGGGTCTCAATGATAAGGACTTGCAAGCAAAAAAATATAGTACGAAAACCTACCTAAGGTCCCCAGATTACATCCGACGATATCATCTGTGAAAATGTGTTGAGGCCACGAGGTACAAGTGTATAAAAATTTATTAGTCAAGTTGAAAGTCACGCCGCATCAAGCAACGTGAACCAAGAAAGCAAGTTGACCTTAGCTTTCTGACACTCTTGATTTTATCCATATGACCTCAAAGCTCTTATTCTACCGGATGAACACAACTTCAAATTGGACTAACCAAATACCTCAGAACAAGTGCAAGCGCACTTTTTACTAGGGAACTTGCCACACCACCTAAGCATACATATGAACCACCTTTAAACACTCCCTGGGTACAGGAAATTATACACCCGCTTTGAATCCCGGTTCGATGTGCTGAAGCGAAGTGGATGAAAAGAGAATGGTCGAAGTTATCCAGAGGCACTAGTACCGCCTGACTGACTTTCAGCTATACTAGAACTTCACCCAAAACGCTACAAACTGGACGATTTCGAGGAATATGAACTGAACGAACAACATGCAATCGCAGTTCTTCCTAGCTCTATTGGTTCTATGTACTAAGTCGGGCGGCGCATGACACCAGACCGATACCAAGGCAAATCGCTAAATTACAACTCCAAGGCATTCAACCGCAATGCGATCTCTCAAACAGTCGGATAAGCCAACAATGACAAAAGGCATAACAGTTTGAGCTTAACACGCGACTAACTGTCGATGAGAGTTCCCAATTGTGTCTACCTGCTTTAACAAAAACACTAATTGATGGTTCAAATGTATTTTTACAAATAGAGAGAATAGGTAATGGGACCTTGCACCATGAAATAGTAAAAATATTTGTCCTGCAAATATATGAAGCGAAAAGTCAAGAACCCATAAGTCACCCTGCACCGATCTTTACATTAATACAGTACGTACATAAAAAACTGCCTGAAAAAAGCAAAGCTAAGATTGCTCGACTGTGGGATCCCTCAATGAAGAAACCACAAAATACATGCACATTACATATGTACAATTGGGCAGAGAATTATGTCCACAGAGTCAAGCGAGTATTTATATGGGAACATTCTTGGCAGCAGCTCTCTGCATTATTCCCTGTCCCTCCTTTTTTAAAACACAAAGTAATGTTTGGGAGCTTTCGAGAATCTAACATGGTAAAGAACGCAAAAACATCAAGCACACCTTCATGTAAGCGGCCTCAGATTCGGCAATGGTTCGATCTAATTCGTTGCGCAGTACTAGCTTTTTCTGCAAGCTGTCATTTACACGATTAAGCTTTTCAGTAATTTGGTTCAATTCTCTTTGTAATTTTGCTTTCTCTGTTTCATCAACGTGTATTTGCCTCTGAATGTCTTCTCTTCGTTTACAAAGGTCCTCAAAACCTAATTAATATGCTAGAAAAAGGGAAAACCCACATTTAACCAGTTCATTATTGTAGTTTTGAAGTGCAGCGCCTTGCTGAGACATTTTTACAGAAAGTGCCACACTCGAACCTTACAAATCAAACGATTTGCAGAAACAACAAGACTGCCCTGACCGCGATGATAGAGTAACCATAACGTGAGTAAAGAAAACAAAAGTATGGGATCCTAAAAGTTTGCTTGTTCCCTGCAAAAGATTTTGTTGCCATATACCGGACAAAACTTATTATAAATATATTTTAATATCTATTTTGCGAAGCAGCAAACCTGTTGCGCGAAATTATTTTCCATCACTACAAATAAGCTGAAAATTCGTTGCATTTTCACCTCTTTTGTAAACCGACGTACATATTTACTAACCTTATTTAACAAGCAGTGTATGCTTATTCTATGCAACCAACTTGCCCTAATAACTACATTAACAGCTTAAAATATGAGTCTGATGTTAAATAATATGATTCATAAAGAAATACGCAGTACCTAAGGCCTTTTGAGAAATCTTAATAGACAAAAGAAATGGATCAGAGCTTTGTCATTAAAGTGGGGATCTAAGGGACGACTGATTTTATCCCTGAGGGAAGCCTGTGGTCTCACAATTCTTCTTGAGGCTCAAGGAGCATGCAAAAATCACGCAATCGCTTTGTTAAGCAAAATGTTAGTTTAAAATACACTTTCTCTCTCTCCTTTCCTTGGTCGCCCTCTTGCGGGGACAAACACGACCTAGTCGGAGCGGAAACAGTAGCGTCTTATGGAATTTCCTCACATATGGAAAGAAAATTTCCTTAACGTCACCATACAATTGTTCAATTCGATTGTATTCAAGATTTTTCACTTATGCAAACCAAGTTGAATTTAAGGAATGTACTGACTTCGTACAGCTATGACCACACAACACCCTTCAAAAGCTTGTTGAAGGTAAACAGGAATTTTTTACCCAGAAACGACTTTTAAAATGGTTTACTGGTGTCATGTCTCGTGTCTATTATTTCCTTCTAATTTCTTCGCAATTCAGTATTGTCCAAACATTTGTCTAGCCATGTTTTGTTCAATTAATAAAGGCTTCGAAGAGGCGCCACCTTTTTACGTATGTAGCACTGCCATAAAAAGGAAACAGCTATAGCTGTTGCCTTTATGAAGATAGAATTAATGTGGCTGCCAAAGTAGTGGGTCCGTTTGGGTTCTTCTTCTTGCAGTCATAAGCTGTTTGCTGGCGAGGCTTTTCTTCTGTCACGTAAGGACGTAGTAATCATCCACAATTGATCTTTTGCACTGGTTTCGCTTGCCGTTGCCACAAACTTGGCATCCCGAACCTCGTGAGGGAAGGGCTGACGTCCTGCAAGCCGGAGAGCGGTTACATGTCCACACCCCCTGAACTCTGTACCAGTTTTCCCTACTAACTTTCCCTGATAAACATGTTAAAATCAAACCAACATGAATGTTACAGGCGTGTGAAGAACAGGGAAGAGGAGACCTACGAGCCTCGTCCTACTTATTACAATTTATTTCATTGCGAGATTATTTTCTCACTGCTTTTGTGTTAGCAACAAGCACCACTACTTTTATCATTTATGTCGAAATTTGACAGGAATTCGGTTTTAAATGTGCACTTTAGGTTATATGCATGGTGGTAATTCATATAACTAGGGATATATACTCGTTTGAGTGACTTTGTTTGTGGCGCCGTTTCCCAATCTCCCTACCGAGCTTCCGGACTTGATGGTCGTGAGGGTTCATGTCGTTTATTGGTAGGTTTTTTTTTGTTCAACGATCATTTCCCATAGTGGTGCCTGAGGCTACGAACCGAGAGTGAGTCCATTACCTTCCCCTCAATGCTCTTTAGTTCAACCGGTTCAAAGATGCCTTAATAGGTCGCTTCGGTGCAAATGTTGAAGTGGTACTGTGATGCATCTGCTAAGCCTTATTTTGTAGACTGGTGAAGGCACACCCACTTCGACTGGTTGGTTTGAGGTTGAAGTTTCTGGCGTTGGACTAGTGTTCTCGAAGAAGGTACTACACTTGTAGTGATTTGACTCTTAGAACGGCGATGGATTTGTCGATAGTCAAACAAAGTTGGACGCCATCACCGACGCAATCGAAAAGGCCATGAGGCTACGCACCCATTAAGAATCCAGTAGTGCCTCATTCTTGTCCCAGTTTCACTGCAGTCTGTCCGTTAACTTATGACCAACCTCGTCTAAATACCATGGACGATGTTGCGATGCATTAACGAGGTGGACCCACAGTGAACTGGTTCTTTGCACCATCGGTTTATTTTACACATTTGTATGCTTCACCTCCCATCATTTCTACTTTAGAAGTCGTATTACTCATGATGCATTTCTAATAAAATACACACAAGCGATTGAAGTAACTGGCCCTGTGTGCTGAAAGACGGTGTAGCTGTAACTGCATGAGTCCACTCACAATCCTCTCCCCTAACAAGAATTTGCCTGTGTGAGAGTCAACCTGAGCCGAAGATACGGTCGGTGGCACTCGTCTATGACAGCGTTTGTTGTAGAAATGCCGCGGAGACACTTGCCAACGCGATAGCACCAACGGCGACTCAGCCTCGTCACGGAGGCTCGTCCCCTCGGGTCTTCAGTCTCGGTGATCTGGGAGAGGGCCGCCTCACTGACGGCAAGCATTAAATCTTTGCAGTACTCGTCACTGGAAAGATAATTATATCATAAGGCTTGTCCTCTGTTGATCGGTTGGCAAGCCTTGGGAAGTCACTGCGGGTTATAAAATGCAACTCTTGTGGGGCGCATTAGAACAGTCAAAAGTAATTGCTTTAAGAGATATGTCAAACCTAGGTAGCTGTTCGGGAATATGCTGCTTACTGGTTTGCGGTCGGCCAGTTCTTATCTATGAGTTCGGCCCATGCACTTGGATTCCTGGGAGAGATGTGTCCAGAAGTTTTGTTCAATAAAACGAAGGTTTCCGTTTCGTCCACCGGACCTAGAGTTATATTCCACCCGTCTTTGCCTTCCTGATGCGTCTCGTCTGCTCTAATTGCTTCCTGAGGGCACAGGGACTGTACCGTTTCAACATGAGCCGAGAGTTCAAAACACTGCTCGTGCCCATCCGTTCTCGGCTGTAATTATAAACAACGACTGATATTTCAACAAATGAATGACAGACTAGGGGATAGAAGAACGAACCTGAGAAATACTGTCCAAGTAATGCAGGCTTTGGGACAAAATTTCTGTAAGGGAACAGACATCTAAGCATAGTGAATGAATCAGGGTAGATGAGAAAAATCGGTTGGAACTTTGTGGTGCGTCTAGCGATAGGGCGCGCTGATTTGCCATTTATTTCAACGGCATTCATCTATATAATCTAGGGGGTTAGGTGAAAATGCTTTTAACGACATTTGAGGAACGTTAATGCTTAAGAGTCTCGGCAACCCGGGTCTAACGACCGATACCAATTACGAACAAAATGAAAGCAAAAGTGGACCAAAAATGGCTGTAGTTTGATGTGAGTGCGCACTTGGGATGTCGTTCTTTTTGGCTATCATCGCAAGGACTGGTTTCCGCTTCAGCTTCCACCGACGCCCCATAGCGGAGACGAGGGCTCTACCCTCTTCGTGGAAGACGAAAACAAAGGGGAGTTGCATTAGTTCCCTCGGCGGGGTGCCGTCCGGTGCGTCGCCAGACATGTAAAAGAGTTTATCCTTTGCGGACGATGTCCCCGGAGTACTGTCCACCACAATCACTCCGCGCGCACCCATCTATGTAATTATTTTAGAACAAAAAAATTCGCCATATGAACAAGCAGTATTTACAATGATGACTGAAACGTAAAAAAACAGGATTTAATTAAGCGATTCTAAACGTATTATGATGAGAAGAATCACATATAGGAAAACTCTAGAACATAAATACTATGAAAGGGTAGCGCCCTGTTAAAATTATCTAGACTAATCCATAGTCCATCCTCAAATTAGATAGATAGGATGCTTCAGGTGGTTAAGGCGGTAGATGTCATTGAGCTGCGAGCAAAAACAGGTAGGTCCCACCTGTTTCACATTGATTGCCTTCTCCAGAAACATGCAACCGCCACGCTTGACCAGCACGATGGCGTCCTTCAGCAGACGCCTTGGTTTGCTGGCGCCCTCGAACTCAGAATCCTCGTAAAATGAAGGCTCGACGAAGTCGGCGTGGAGCTGCTCGTTGGCTAGGAGAAGCCCATCCGAGTAGACTGGCGTGCAGGCATCAAAAGGTTCCGCGATAACAAGGGGGCCTATGACGGGCTGCCAATCGATGTCTGGGGTGATGAGGGTGGGGGAGGCGGTGGCATCGGTGATATTTGGAGACTCGCCCGGATAGAAGGTGAACATGGATGGACCCGCCTCAAAACGTATTCGGCCGAAGTGTGGTGGATGGATAAGGGCGACTGTTTGTGATATGACTACCTCCCCTTTGGTTAACGTTTAACAAGGAACGGTTAAGCTTCTATCTCATTAGCAAAGTGAATTCGGTAACTAAACACTAAATTATTGAAATGCCATAATTCCCACAAGGAAAAGGGGTATATGTATCGCGCTGTATCAGGATTCATGAACACGCAAGCTACTGCAAGCTATACAAAATAAGGAGCGCCTACACTTCTGCGGGAACATTTCTAATGGTTTTAATAATCTCAGATGATAAACAAAACAGTGCATTACGATTGAATAAATTAAACAACTGCTGGAATAGAAGTGTTACCGAGAGATCTTCCTTGTGATCTGGCATTACTTAAGTCAATGACCTCCTCGATGAATTTCACACCAGAAAGACCGAGAAGAGGAGAATCCGCCTAAAAGTAAATACCAGAACCGTCTGCTCGGGAAAATTAACCTACGACGCCAATTAAATGTGAACAAAGGAATCGTACTTCGACATTTAGATCAAATCGACGAGGGTATATCTTTTGTGAAGCATAATATGCAGTTTTTTTTAGGGAACACTAGGCATTTGATTTGTGTATTAGCCAACAAACAGCCCACGACAGTTCAACTTCGATTAAATCTAATCATAGGCATTTTTTTTCCCGTGCCTGTCCAATCGTTCCCTTTTCCATAGCAAAGTGGAGAGCAAATGTTATATCAGAGAAGTTGTAGGTGCACACCTGGTTGCGATTGAGTTTAAGTTGAATTTCACCATTTTTTCCTACCACCACCATGATACCCATTTGGCGCAGCATTTGTAGGTGGGTGATGTTATTAGCATTGAAGGAGGTGGGAGTGACGAGGCCTAAGGGAAGGGAGGAAGAGTCGTGGTCACTGATCAGATGTCTGGATCGCAAACTTTTCGCCATGGAACGCAGGGGCTGTCGGATGGTCTCGAGATGGTAATGCTGATGCCACGGGCCCACACGGCACGTGGTCGGACGAGTGCATAATAGGCGCCGCAAGGTGCTGGAACTGCTAGGTGCCGCGCAAGTACCGCCCCAGGCGCGGCCGAGGGCACCCGGCACCGCTACCACCGCCTCTTCCACCAACCGCGCATGTGCGATCACCGGTGGATGTTGTTTCGGTAGGCCGATGGGGAGAACGTGCGCCTCAGTTGTCAACACGTACTGTTCCAAGTCAATCGGCAAATCCGAGGGCTCCGAGAACAGGAGATAAAAGTACTTGAAAGTCTCCGCCAGTACAAAGGAGTCCATCCTATCCGAATGTTCCATTGTTCGGATATCCTAAGAATTACGAAATTCCCCCAATAACGGTGGAAAAGGCGCAGGTAGTCTATCGTCAATTAAGAGACACTTACGGCAGTTTCAGTAATTTCTACACCATCTAATACCGAAAAATGAATTTCAGTGTCTAGCACTTTGGCTGACCAAAACAGGCGGAAAAAAAGGCTTAGAATTTGTTTGAACTTAACAGAGGTTAGTTTATCAAATTCAGACAAACGAGCAAATATGGAGCAACAAATTCACGTACTATAAGTACGCAAATTATAAAGACTAACATCGTTATCGATTTTACCACTTTTCTAGGTGATTTTGCAGTGACAAAACGTGATTCAACAAGATAACACCTTTATGAGGAAAGTGGAAACCAATTCATAGTAAATTATAACAAACAACCTGTGAGGAATTTATTGGTACGAAAGACTTTATATCTGAAATGCCGAAATTTGAACCTTTAAAATAAGGTCTATTGTTCCTGTTCTAATAAGGGAAACATATTTTCGTTTGAGCTGTCTATCAAACATCATATCATTAGAAATTACATCCAGCTAATATGGATTTATTTTCCACAACTATCGGAACACTGGCCACTGAAGTGGATTCTCTTCAATATTTGGCCAGAGACCATGGATTGCCTTTCAAAAGCGTTTCGGTCGAGCTAACCTCAACAGCTGCGAAACCACAGGGCACCCTGGAGTGTTGCTCAATGCTCTCCAACAGTTCGGCCCCCACATATAAGTAGTAGGGGTCGCTGGTACCCTTGTAAAGGAGATACGTAGACTCTACAAGTTCTGGCCGAATTAGGTAATAGGGCCAGTAAATGTCCATGTCTGTGGTGAAAGCCTCTGGCAGAAGACCGTGCTCCTTGTGCACCATGAAGAGCATCTCGTGATGCGCAACCGCCGCACTCACGTCCCCGTTGATTGTCTTGGAAAAAGAAGTGAAATAGCAAGTTATATGGATAAATTAAAATGCTTCCTCTTGATACTCCATGAATATGCAAAAAAACAGATGAGTATATACTTATTTCATGAGTGAAAACCCTTCGCAACCTTAATAAATTAACAGTGACATCAAGTCAATCAAAGGAGACATAAATAAAGGAGATGCAAGTACAGTTTCTCCTCAAAAATAACCTTTGTACAAGTAGTTACAACATTAGTTTGAAAAATAGTGAACGAATATTAGAACACTAGAACCGGTTCTTGTAGTGCCTACCTGAAGTCCGGGCCAGAATGCCTGAAGAGCGTCCATATAGAAGCGGCAGCGCTCCGAAGGCTTGTGCATGAACACACTGAGAAAGGAGAAGGGGAACGCCTTGGTGCCTGGGCCACCCATGTAGCGCTCTATGGCGGAGTAGTGCGTCTGGAAGCGGTGAAGATAGACGGGGTCACCGAGGAGACCGTAAGCCTTGAGCAGACTCTCATAGTAAGAATCGATGCCCGCACCGACGCCCGACTCTAAATTCAACCAATAAAGTGTTAACACACCTCCCTTTGTTCAACTCGTTGACAGAGCCATTAAGACCGCCTTGTCATTGACTTGAACAAAAACACAAGGTATAAAATTCAGACCGACAATCGGTAATCACCAGCAAAGGCCAAAGGGCTAGGGTCTAGTACAAAGATCTCTTTAACATTCGCGATGCCCATTCCCCGCAACATCAATAGAAATAATTAGTGCTCTGACAATTTAATCTTTCGCCCATGCTTCCCTAACAGAATGTGGTTCCATAATTAAACCACAAAGTGGCGGACACACAGGCTCATGAGTAACATTTACTAAGCATTTGCGAATTTTCGCAATAGCATTCCGGCTTTAATGCAACTACTTATCAATTTGCTCATTTCTATGACCATAGCATTGGCTCAAAATTTTATTCATTCAAAAAGGCAAGACTTGTTCGACCAAATGGAAGGCACCAAATGTAGGACAAAATCGGCAGATTTATCTACAAAATAAGCCACAGAATGATGCATCTGGCCCCTCAAAATTACCAGAGGTTAAAAGAGCGATAAGACAAAGATTTCATGAAATTTGAAATATTGCTTCAATAGTCTTCACTGCTTAACTTTGACAGTGTGGAAAGGATAGAAAGTGTGATGCTGAAATGAATTAATCAAACGGACAACAGGCGAGGAAAATCTTGAAAATGGATGTGAAACACCGCAAGGATAACAAAAGTAGACGGCGAGAGTTTATAGTAGATAAGGTAAAATAGCAAGTAAGTGGTAATAAAGGCAACTTCAACTGAAATTGGGGTATTTTGTTGGAGCCTACCTCTACGAATCCATTCCCCACTGTTGACGTTGATTTCAGTTCCAACAAGATCCGAGTAGCGATTGCGTTGTTGCCAGAGATAAGAGAGCGCATTAGAAGCCATCATTTCGTAAACAGGATCGCCAGAAAAGCGACTGAGAGCAGCGAATTCTAAAATAAGCGTTCCTGCACAGGCCGTACAGGTTTGAACCTAAAATATTACCATACATTAGTGAATCTGGAAACATTTCAGGTTTTACGCAATCAAGCACAATACAATCAACTTGCCACCCATAAAATACGAAAAATTTTGTCCGTGATTTGATATTCAATCTACGTGACACATATGAGCGTAGAAAGGCCAGCACGTGAGATACTTTCCAAAAGCAGATTGCATTCACAATAAAACGTTCACTGGCTGGAGTGATATCTGAGTTAAGGAGGAAGTATTCTATATATTAATGAAGTAAAAGGTAGCTGAAAAATGGACTTTGCTGCGTGATCAATACCGATGCGGTCGGTGTTTGACTGGATTTTTGGCTCAAGGCCGACACTTAAAGCCATATAAGTGTGCCTTTGTTGGTTTCAATAGTTTCCAGCATTTTTCGACACGTAAATACAGGTTCTATCATAAAAGATCAATAAAGCGGCGTCAAAGGCATTGATTCCCATGTTTTACTTTGAAGAACGATGGTCCAACAGTAACTGTAGGTATGAAAAGAGCCCCATTATTTGGGGGAAACAGTATGAAAATAATGGCAGTTACAGGAGACTGGTGCCTACGACCTTATGATGATGAATTTACATCTAGCCACAAAGCGCAAGGTAAAGAAGAAGATGGAGCTTTACATAAAACACACAATCCATTATAAACAACTAAACAGTAAAATAAGACAACTGAAGCGCATACTGATCATTCCGTGAAGGAAGAACCAAAAATCGGCCACAAGGAAACCTTTCCTAATTTTATCGTTTTTACTCTGGCCGGGAACAATGGCATCACAAAAGAACTTACTAGTGGTGATGGTTTACCTGTACGTAAATTTATGCGTGGGAAAGGTAAACCTGTGGACGTATTAAATGCGGGTAGAAGACGACTTCCTAAATCAACAGCCATGTCCAAAAGCTGTCCCCTGTACCACGATATGCGGCTGGGGTCATACTCTTTCAAAGCCAGAACCGAAACGTGACCACCGAGCAGACCGCTGCAAATAATAAAATTTGCATGGATTATTCAGAGTGTCAACAGCTAAGCTGCAATTCAGCCACAGCCACTAACCCCAAAACGCGTATATTAGTTTCAAAAACAGATACGTCGACGTCCTGGTCGAAGGAAACGTCGTGAATTACCCGAAGCACAGCATGTTCGAATTCATCAAATTCGCCAAGCAACTAAAAAGCATAGGTAAATAACTAAAAACCAACGAATAGCGTATCTAAACTGTCGATTAGTGAAAGAGAAAAGTTTCCAAGCGCTTCATCGACTGTCCCGCGAGAAAGCTCCCTATCACGGTATCGACCTTTGCAAGATAGGGGCATCAACTCATCAGCAGGATAAGCAAAATCCTACGGAAAACTAAGATAACCTATTTATACCATATAATTATTGTACGCATGAAAAAACATTTCCTTCGACTTATTCCTAGAGAAAAGTGAGACATTAACTCGCTTACTTCAATTCTTCACGCCTAATACTACTCATAAGTAACATATCCTTGCAATATGCAAGAGAAGTAGGGATCAAAAGGAAGCATACTAACGTTGCTAAAGAACCCATCAGCACGATGACCCAAACGCTATCAGTGAAGTAATTGGTCTAAAAACACGAGACAAACGACGCAACTTTAAACTTACGTGTTAAAACAATGATAGGTGCTACAATGTGGCGAATGACCTTCGCACCAAATACTATGATGCCATTATTTAAAGATATTGTTATTTAATCAGAAATTTTGTTATGCTTTTCTAATATACTAGACATGGCGTTTATTATTGGTTGTCTTACAAGCACCTTAACATAGCTTATATTGAACAGGGATCTGGTATTGCAAAAAATTTTGAGATCTAAATAGGACTGAACTAAAGACTAACTACCCGCCTCTCATTAGGTTGCCTTCATGAAAATTTTAATTAGTTTTTGGATTGTAAAATGCATAGAGGAATGCGTGGCCTAAATAAAGTTCGTTGGCGTTCAATACGCGATTAAGCTTTGCAATAACACGGCACCCAGAGCACAAACTGCAAGTCTGTAGGCTACAAGGGTTTCAATCTTCAGATTAACTATTCTTGCGCTCTCTAATTCCTTTTTGGAAAATAGGATTTTAAATTAGCCGTACGTTGCAATACTAGATTGCACGAAATGTTGGGTTTGCGATTTACGACGTTTGATAAATAATTTGGGATTAAATTAACTGCTATCCTTGCAGATCATTGCAGCGACATTAAATAGCTAATTGTCGTTTGAACTGTTCCATCAGCCCTTTGAACTTGTGCGCTGTCTTTCCCCTTACCGTTGGTCTTCTAGCCTCGCTCCGGGTTGGTTTCGTCGGTCGTTGCGCGTTTTTGTACTAGAAATTGTGATTTCGCTTTGTTTGGTGCAACTAATGTAATGTAATTCAAATTAAAGGAAGTGATTTAAAGTGTGATTGGCGACTGTTCTGCTGATTATTCTATGCTACCGATATTTGGGCCTAACCAGGACGTGGTGTGCTTACACATACATTCTGGTTGTCTGATTTGTCGGAATAAAAGTTCACAGTGTGTCAGGCTCCGTTCCAAAATGTTGCTTATGCATTAATCTCAGGCTCTACCCTAATATGGGAGATGACTCTTTGCACGTGCGTATGGCTTGGGTTTTGCATATTTCTCTGTGACATGATTTTTAGTCCTTTTTTGTGCAAACATAGTTGACTCATTTTGCCTCACTACTGACCGCTTAGTCAATACCTCAGGGGATGTAGACATTTGTTTCGCTTAACATTTTGTACAAACTTACACGTATTCTGCCACTTGTTCTTTTTCAATTTACGGTCGGGAGACGTTAAATATTGGTAATATCACACAGCTTAACTAACGCCTTTTTCTGGTTTATTGTTTTGGTTGCATTCAATTTAACAGGACTTTATACTTCGTGGTTTTTTTCGGTTCTTTGCCATGCATTATCGGTTTTATCTCCGTCGGATTTGCCTTACTGTGCATTTGAAGTGATCGGTATATTTTTACCAGAATTATAGGGGAATATGCATTGCTTAACCATCTTCATTCTTCGGTTCAAAGTGTATTTGCCTTTCATTCATTACTTTATAAGCGCAGTTCATATTTGACCACATTACCCGTGAGGTGCGTGGAAATGCTCAACGAATGCCTGTTTTGCACTTGATAATGATCTTCTAATTTTACGTAGCTTTTCTAAACATACACTTGAGTAATCAACCCAATTTTTTTTCTTCAAATACGGAAATCGAGTTTGAAATGGGCGGTCTTACCAGGCTTTTTAGCCCTAAAGCTAAACTAATGGTTAAATAGCCTATTCTTAAAGTACAGTATCTACTTATAATCTACACAAGTTTGAGTTTGTTTATAGTTAAGCACTGTTTTCTCCAGGTCATGCTTGGGAAAGCTCCATTTAACCGACCGTGGGTTTTGAAAAGTTATGCGCCCTTCTCGGATGAGGATTGTAATGTGAGTTTTCTCCAATTCATTGTCTTTAAGAGCGGTATTCGTATCTATTATCTGCTTTTAATTTGTAGTTTATTGCTGAAAACCATATAGGGCCTTCCACAGAACCTAACATATGCAAAATCTTTGCTATTCTTTTCGTGTTTAAAAGTAGAAGATACAAAAACGTCACTAATTCCAATGCTTGTCGATTCCTCCCACATTTTCTACAATCTTTTGTCGATTTTTGAAAAGACAAAGTCAGTTTCTCTGACTGATTAACTAAACATTTGTTGGGTGTACGCTCTATGTATGCGTCTGCTGCAGGATTGTGAGGCCGTTTCCAACAGGGAGGTCGAGCGGACTGTGGCGGTAGTAGCAGAGGCCCAATTATCTGACGACGAGGCCACCTCCGTCTATTACTTGCCCCCGCCGGCCTCCGCCTTGGTGTGCCTTCCGCCCAACCCCGACCCACCGCCTTTTAACGCCTTCGCTGAACCCCTCACCATTGAAACCAGAGGCTTGTCTCCAAGTTCTCATCTACAAGGTGACTCTACCATCGCTCTAGCTGGTTTCTCATTCAGCGAAGGCCCACTTCTATCCTTCCTCATACTATGTTTAACGTATCCTTCAAGGAAATATCTATTATTTCATCCCTTGATGACTGATTGGGCTGAACTCTTTTTAGTTCCGGTGCTTAGGGTTGCTTTTTAATTTATTCTTGTTTTTGCTTGATACCTGGGCAGCACTTAGAACGATTTCATAATATTTCCATAATACCTGTAAGTCAAAACATGCTCTTCATCGCTTACCTTTTGCTCGTTTGCTGTTTTAAACAGAAACGACGTTGAGTAGGCATTTTTGGGACTTAAGATGGGCCCTCTTACCTTAATATATGATAAAGATGTTAGTAATTTCTCATAATAAGCTCAAAAGGTGTGCTAAAAATCATGTAATGACTTAAAGGTAGGTGTGCGTATTTGATCATCTCAGTCTAAAATCGGAGCTTTTCTACGCCTTCGTAGGAGACGTATTACGTGCATTTGTTCCATTGCAGAAAAAAAAGTAGACCCGTTTTACGTGGATAGTCTAAATTTACAAAAGGAGATTCTCAATCCCGGTGGAGTTGAAATTTATGTATCCGCGTCTAATCTTCTCGAAAATGTTGCGATAGTCGAATTGGAAAATAATCTGTGGTAAGCACTATCAGTGAATTCGGACAGTATTAAGATTTTACAAATTTGTAGTATATCAGGTTTTCCGATGATGTTTAGCTCTACAGTTTGTCCAATAAAGTAGTCCTTATAGGGGTTTTTACAAATATCATACTGTCAACTATTTTCGTAATTCTGCTAACAAATAAACTGCTCTTTTTCAGCAATGTTTGATTCAGTCCATAAAAGTTGGGTGATGTCATTACCGTAAAACCTTGAATTTGAATGCACTGTGACTGCGTAATGTTAAGGGTTGGTGGTTGGAACCCTCGAGTGCCCGATTTGCCCAGCCTCTTCCACATGGGAGATCTTCTGATCTCTGTCAATGATCATAAGGTGCAGACCCAGCGTCAATTCAAGAAGATTGTTGAGGGCACGAAACGGTGGGTGGCACAGGAGCGGCAGCGGAAGCCCGACATAGCGCTGAACCCAGCCGAGGTGAAGTGTCGGCTACGTCTGAGGCGACTGCCTCTCGCTAAGACTCTGATCGTGTGTAGACAGATGCAAGACCAAAAGATCGGTATCAACTTCGACGATAGTGGTACCAACAAGGTGAGTTTCGTGCACTGGAAAATCAGATTTTTCCAATCAACCGTTTTGTTCCTAATGTGTGAGAAGTAAGGTGAACATTGGAACGGTAGCATGTCGCTTATTAATGTGGTTCACTTGGTCTTAGTGGTATAGCAGAAGCTTTTGATTGATTACGCATGCGAATGGTCAGGTACTGGCGTAAGACTGTGTATTTGCGGTAAATTTGCGCGTCTCGTTTGTTTACCATTATTCTCTTCCCAATGGTCTGCGGAAGTGCGTGAATGTGATGAGGGCCCTCCGTTCCGAGGCCAGCCATTAAAACTCGGAATCTTCATTTATCGTGCTACACGCGTTTCGTCGAATGTTGATGGCTGAGTTGATGCACGAACAATCTGTTAGATGCTGTTATGTTTCATAACACATCTAGGGTTACAAGGTCAAAGTAATTTTTTTGAGCTTTTAGCTATGGGTATTTTGGGATTACAGTAATCAAGTTATTCCTATATGATATAGCTGAAAATCCTCACTATTTCTGGAACTACCTGATGGGAAAGCAGATCTAAATTTATCAAAATAGTTACAGTATTTTGGAAGTACAATCCCTCAGCTGCGTTCCTTTGACGTTTGTTACTGCCTCATAAAGTACATTTCTTATCGCCCAACTTTACGATCAGCACTGGCGGCATCTAAATTTCTCCAACTACCAAGCAAACGGAAATCTTTGTCGGTCGATGTCTTTGGGTACTGTCATGTCAATTAGGAAGAATTTCCGTTCGAACCATATATTAGACATGGAAATGTCATCGATTCAGATAAACTTACTACTTTTACACGGCTGCTTCCACTTGTTAATGATCTCAATTCTTGTCCCGAATCAGGTCATAGCAAAATAAGATCTACAAATACGGTATATTTTTAAGTGAGTTTATCTAACAATTGGGGAAAAATAACCGAAAAAACCTCACCTACACTAGTTTTCTCTTGGACAAAAACGTTCCGCACATCGCTTGGGTGGATGAAAGCTCATTGTTTAGGTTTAAAACGAATTTCAAATTTTAGTTACAGTGATACTATTAAACGCTGATAGGTGAAGAGTATAGACCCGGAGGGCCCCCTAGCATGCACTGGTCTGCTCCCCTTCGCCCCGTCTTTTGTCAAAAAGTCCGCGAGTGTCCCCTTCCCCATGTCAGTCCTACGGTTTCTTGATCAAAAGCAGACCAACTCGGCTCCAGTAAATTTCGTACCGTGGACGGCGACAGAAATCAACCACAGGCCCCTCAATCCCTTCTTCAAACAGCACGAGGTACCTCCTGCCACATTCCCGGTCATTTAGCTTCCACCGCCTTTATTTTCGTACTTATTCAAGCACAATCTCTTAAATCTCAATTTGAAAGTCAAGGTCAAGCTGTGGAACTTCAGCGTATACTTTTAGACGTGTTTCTCATTTGTAGGCGGACCTGTTGATCGGGGCTCGAGGGATGGTAATTAGCGTAACATTCCAGCCCTCCGACTTCATGGAAGCGCTATGCAGAAAAATCAGGAAATTAAAGTCGCACCGGACATTCTTCTAAGTGATTCTGTCCTTATTAAACTTTATACTTTTGCTAACAAACCAGTTCGCTTTAATGTCTTGTTTAGATTGACGAATTAACCCAATGATAACTTGCACAGACGCTTAGTAGGGATGCCAATTCCGTCACCATCATCACGGAGATGTGACCAAGCGCCCCAAATTCTTCACTACTTTCCAATGTAAATTTTCACATAAAGAAGAAAGGAAGCCTTCACATAAACCTCACCTGTTACCAAAATGATGGAACCCATCGCAGTTCGAGCCAGGAAGTATTAAAAGTTGGCAGAACCAATAATAAGGGTTGGAGGAGTGAGCTTGCAAGAATAGATCTCTGACTTGTGGGGAGAAGCGATGAAGAAACTGGAAATGCAGAGTGGATAGGCATCTGTTCTTCAGCAAAAATACGAAACAGATGAAGATGACAGAGGTTTGTACAAGATGAAGGGATTGCTAGAGATGGTTAAGAATATGCAGAAAATCGCCGTAGAAAAGGTCACAAAGAGGAGGGCCGGTACTTAGGAGTCTAAGGGATGGAGCAGAGGATGCGACGACTACCTATAAATCAGAAAAGGCGAAAACTAGCGAGCACTGCTGTACTCGGGATTGCAGTCATTGCATGCGAATGCTTACATCGCGCTAGTATCACGAAAAGTGAGTACCAACCTTAAGTCTTCATAGAACCAACGGAATCCCCAGCAGTGGTGAGCATTGAGGCGCCCGAAGCGGCATCGGAGTATTGCTGTGCCTCCATACCGGCGGCCTTGGCAGCACTTTGCGACTTTTTGATCTCCTTGATTGCCCAGTGGGCCATAGTCCGCGTATGGCTGTTCTTCGACCGACGTCCCTGTTGCAGTACATTCTGTAGAGGTGTGACGTCTATGAATGGCAAAATTTGCGCCCCGAACGATGACACGATATCACTAAAGTTTGACGTGGAAATACTTTTGAATAAAATGGAGAGCCAACAATAGCTCCATTAGCACATAAATGAATGTATCAATTAACAAAGATAATTATTTAAGACCTTAAAGTGGCTAAATGGCATACCCAATAAGGCCACAGGATGAAGAGATGATATCATCCGTAGCGACAGTTTCATTCCCGACATGTTGAATGAAGGTTATGATGAAGTTGATGTGACCAGCAATAAACTGTAGTTGAGGACTTTGCTGTCCGTTCTCATTTTCCTTCATGCCTTGAATTATACCTGTGTAGGCCTCGAGGCAACTGCTCCATAAAGAATTCAGATAATCCACCATATCTGGGTCGGTCTATAAGTGTCGCAAAGAGATTTGGGCAAGGGAAATGTGATCGCAGTCTACACAAAGCAAACTGTAACAACTTAGAAGAAATGCTTTGGGAAATAGACTAAGGCACCAGCAATAGCTCGTACTGACTTCTTTCTGTGAGTACGATAGGAATGGACACGAGCACCTACCAAATCGACCTCTGCTCGTGTCGCCTGCTCCAGAGTCTCCATTACAACTGGAAGATATTTTGCGAAACCGGGTCCAAGTGCTAATGAGATGTCGCCGAAGGCCGAAAGAATTGCAGGTCGAATAGATTTATCCGCCTCAGTGTTCTGGAGCACTTCCATAAGAATCTGCACAATGATATCACAGTATGGTGTAATGTGCTTGTTCAATACACGACAGAGGTCGGAGAGGAGGCCAATCGCGTTGATACACACTTGAGTCTCGACACAAAGGTAGAGGCAGCGATGAAGAATGGGCATGACTGACTCCAAGTAAGGAAGAAAGGCTTCTCCTAGAACATCAAGAAGTGCGGACAGCGCGAGTAGAGCGTCTTCCTGAACACCGGTAGAGGTCGACGCCACGGCAACTTTCAATTCACTAGCCTGGTCACCAGCCCCCTCTGAAGCTTTGGCATTAGTTGTCGACGCCAACATCGCCATGAGGGCCGACATGATCTACATGGGACGATAACACGGTTAGGTGTCCTGAGTAGATTCAAAGTACACGATTCTAAGCAGTAGATATGCAACCATTCAAGCAGGTCGGACATTTAATGCACTTTAACTAAGCCATTCGGCGCTTATCGTGTCAAATGAAAATTCGTAAAAATAGCATCGCTAAAAGTATGTTGAGTTAAGCAAAGATACTCATTCAATATGCTCTTAATGTAGGAAAAGATTAAGACGTCGGGGAAATACGTTCCTAAAAAGGTTTTCTTGAAGTGACACGAGAGTCATTTAACCTCGAACGACACTCACTGGTTGCGCTAAGGCAGGAGCATCTTCTTTACTTATTTTTCCCAAAACTGACTGTAGGGTAGCGCATAAGAGGGATTGGAGATCATTGAATTGTGCACGGTCTTGCGACGAAACCACTTGACTCTCCAGACTCATCACATAATTAAGCCGTTCCAGAATAATAGTTGTAACACGCTTAACTTCCTCATAGCAATCTTTCGCTGCTGATTTCATCAACGACATCAGAGCCGAATAAGCAGCATTCCTCAGATTGTGCTGCGCTCCATCTGGACGATCTGCGACCGCCAGAAGTCCTTCAATAATCACCTTGAAGTAAGGCGATAGAGCATAAGTAGGTGGTTCTAATGCTCCCTGTTCTAAATAGGGTTACGTGATTAGCAATTATGCCTACCGCCCGCAGATACCGCATCAAAAGCGCTATCAGCAAGGTTCGAAAATGCCCAACAAACGTTGGCAGCGACACGGGGCTCTGAGCGCAGGCCATTAAGAAACCCATTGATCAATGAGCTGAGGTATTCCGCAGCGAGAGCGACCTCTGGAAGAATTTCGCACACGCGACCAAGTGTCCAAGCGGCAGTGTCTCGCACAGCTGAGGACTGATCCCCGAGCATATCTATAATGACTGGCATCGCTGACACAACAAGTGGCTTAAGTGCCTCTGGATTAGGACCCTCCAAAATACTCCCAAAGCTCATAACCGCGGCATCTCGGAACCTCCAGTTGGCATCCTGTATATGTTGCTCGACGAAAGGTATCACTATTTCTACTATGGCATCCTCGCAAGCCTGAGCAAGCAGCATTATGCAAACGCCAGCGGCTTTACTGGGATTCCATTCATCGTCGTCATCGCCCTCATCTTGCTTGGCTAGTATCTCCATCAGAATAGGAACAATATAATGCAGAGCGCCCTTAGCATAATACCTGCTCGAGACAGAGGGGGGTTGACCTTTTTCAGCACATTCACATGCCTCAATGGCCAACTCCAATTCTTCATCACTGACAGTTGACCAAAACTCGATACCCTGCAGTGATACTTCAGGAACTTCGGATTTCATAGCATTCAAAGTGATCTAGGAAATCCGATCAAAAAAGAATACCTTACCGCAAACAGAGCCTGACCCATGTACATTTCCATGTAGCTGTAATAAAGCGACATTATTTTCACAAGACACTGGAGGGCCGCCACTCTAATCAATGGATCGGAAGACTGAGTGGATTCGCAAACAACCTGCATTATGTAGTTACGCTCGTGCTCGACGTCAAAATGGCGCTTGGTGAACTCGAGAGAGTTGAGAAGTGCATTTGTTGCAGCCAGTTTAACTTTGTCGCTATGGGAAATGACATAAACAAGGAGTACTACCTTGGCTCTTCTTTTTTCATCCCGAAAATAATAGCAGTCAATATCTCACTTGACTGATTGGATAGTATAGCAGGTTCAATGTCCTGACAAAGATACCCGATAGCCTCAAGAGTTGCATGCTTAATGCTTTCAGTGCTACTAGGACTTGTCACATTCATGACTAGCTTCGACATTAAATCCGGCCACCTGTTGGCCGGGAACTCAGCGCAAGCTATGTGAGCCACACACTGGGCAGCGGAGCTATGAGCAGTTGTCTCGGTACCAAGAGCTTCAAGGCACTAACAACGAATAAACCCACACAAAAACACACCTTTTGTTTAATATAGTTTGTGTAATCCGCAGGCATCTGAAGCCAGCGATCATGATACGACATTCTGACGGTTAAGTCCTTGGAGTAAATTGCATTCTTCAGCTGCAACCCAGCCTGCATTCGAGAAATCGGATCACACTGTACATTTGCAAGGATGTCGCTTAAATTTTTTAACAGTCCCGGCAAATCAACCTTTGCTGCCTCTTCTAGATACTGCTGCGCAGCAACCAACTCATTGTTTACTAGGAAAGGAATACTGATTTATAGAATCGTATTTACCATTGGAGCCTGTTTTCTGAAGAACCGTTAACAAGGTTTCAACAGCGGACATCGCCCCAACCACCACCACAGCACAGCGTACGAAAATTGCTTTCGCCGCCGGCCGTTGGATATCGTCTTAAACAATTCCAAGTAATAGCAAAAATATGTGGCAAAAAATTGCTTTAGTAATAATATTATACTATCTGTGCTAAATTTGTAGCTGTTTTTTCAACTTTTCCATCTTAGAGGGGATTACCGCTTTCCCATTACTCTAGTGGGATGTCCGCATTTTGAGAGGACTTCCTTCGTTAGTATTCCATATCTTCTGGTAACCTTTTGAAGTAAATTTACTATTTACCACAAAATATGCATAAAAACTGTTATTGCAAATCCCCTTGAGTCTTTCCTAAGGTCGAAATTAGTCACAATGCTAGGCTAGAAAACAACGCCATCGATGTGAAGAATGGCTGGGAGCTACTGGCATGGCCCGGGGACCGAACCGCCCAATAGAATTACAGAAGCGGACCACGAGACCAATTAAAGAGGCAAACAACTAGTCAAAGCATTGCAATCTCTAAGTGCAATGGTTGTAATGCACATCAGTGTATTCTAGAACTGAGTAGCCTTCTGAGCATGCCATCTTTCACAGCAATTTGAAGCGTTTAATTTAGGCCCATTTTTTGAGTCTAATTCACTTATCATCCTCGACTTCGATTTGGTTAATGCATCGTCATTTAAAAATACTTGGCGCAAAAAATAACTAAATTATCCACTGGCTTGCCGGTTTATCAATGGAAATCGAGTCTACAACTAAATAATCCATTGCAACGAATTTGTTTGTAAAGCGAGATTAGCAGGTCTCCTCTTCCCTGTTCCTAGTGCTCTTAGAGCAACCTGGTTGGTTTAATTTCGACATATTTATTAGAGGGAAGTGGATCGAGAAAGCAAGCACAAAGTTTAGAGAAGGGAGGAACCGCAACCGCTCCCAGGCTTGGGAGACGCCGACTCTATCACCAGATTCGAATTGTAACCTTCCCTTCTCTCCTAAAGGCACACCAAAACAATGTAAGTATTACATATTACTTGCCACCTTAATTTGTCTTTATTTAGGATATTTGTTTGAAGAAGTCGTTTTTAAAACAGGAAGTTTGTCCCTATCATTTCTGTAGAAAGGTTTATTATTACCATATTTAATGTAAGGTTTGTGCTTTGCACAACCATAGCATGATTTAACACGTGATGATGTTCGAAGACATTGGCAGATAACTTTGTTGTAAGTGTCCATGAGAATTGAAACGCCTATACATTAAGTGGTGTGATCGGAGATCAACCTTATCTATTTAAATCATAATCCCCAAATATCAAATAATTGGACGTAGGGTATTCGAAATGCGTGTCCTTTTACAATAAGTGCAGACACCCTTTATTCTTTCTTGCCAATCTGAAAAGTTTTAAAGCGCACTTGGTATCAAGAAACTAAGACTTTTCGTATTTGATGTGTTAGTGGCATTTCAATTAATGGGGAAGTGCGCGCTTGACTAACAAATTACTCTTTTACTGAAATTCATTCATGAGCATATATTCTTTGATCAATGATCAGATTTCAATTTCACGGCGTCACTGCCGAACTGTCTGTGACGGGCGCATCACCTTTAAAAACTCGATTCTGTTAGATGTAACGTTGTTTCAGTTGCATTAATTCACTATTTTATAGGCAGTGTCATGACATAGTGTAGCTCCCTGAAACCTCCCTGGGGATAAAAGAAGACATAATACTCGGGTAGGGTATGCATTGTCGATCTGCAGAAGAATTTGGGTCTACCGGCACGGCCCAAAGGCCAGGCTACCCGCGGAGGTACAATAGCCGAGGCCCTAAGCGGCCCGCTACCAAAAGCGAGAGTTATGCAAACAATTAGTGTGGTAAAAGTTTTGTTAAAGTAAGCTGGTTACCGATTAAACATAGTCAAATGATGATTTTTGGTTACTTTGACGGCTTCAAGTCTAGAGTGGCCATTTGTGACGATCAGACATCCAATTATCCGCTCACCGGCATAACCCTCAACCCGTCCCTCGCGTCTAGAATCTTTTTCACTTGGCAGCAAAAATTGTGCCCTCGACCTGATGAAGGTATTGTCATGCTCAAGACTGAAAGAAATGATACGTTTTCACAACATTATAACTTTTTCCTGTGTTATTTGGATGTTTTGGCATCAGACCTTAGACCCTGACACCTTTTATTAAGGAACGGAACATGAAGCAAACGTTTAGTTTCCCGTATTTAAAGGTCCAAACGGTAAAACAATGTTTATTGAATGAAGGACGAAAAGAGTCCGTTCCAGTCATGTAGCGATTTTTGAGAAAATAAGTATTTCTAAAGTACTGGTTAATGTCTTCATTCTTTCGCAAATACATTCTCGGCTTAAGTAAAACTTGAATAATGAATGAAGCTTACAGAACTAATTGCTCTGTGTAATCGGTGAAAGCCTTCAAATGGTGTATTGGCCCTACGGATTATCTGATCTAAAGCCAATCCAGGCTTACGATAAAATTGGGGTTTTCGGCCTAACTGAGGGTGAATGATCGTTGTACACCTGCTCAGCATATGGCTTCGCTTTAGGGGCTTATTTTAGTGCACTCTTTTGAACTTGTTGCAAGCCTTTTGTGGTCTCATTTGTGGGAGAGGTGGATACATTGTATGCGCCTGCTTGGATGTAGGCATGAACGGGGGTTGAGACTATTATGCATGCCAATTAACACTAGGACACCAGTTGATTTTCAATAGACACCAAATGCATGCATCCCTCCGTACCAGATGCCTCTTTTTAACTCTTCCCTGTTACTACACTCCCTGGAAGCTCAAGGTTTTTCAGTGAAGTACTCAATACACGGATTTCCGAGATTTCATTAAGTCCGGATCTTTTCGCATCTAGGCAAAGGCTAGCCTTATTGGTGCATTTTAAACTCTAAAGAAAACTAAATTTGTGAAAGTAAAAACTTGTGTTAATTGGATCAAAAGCCAAAGTGATGTAAATACAGTTTCACTATGCGCAGCAGAACGTTGCACCACGCAGTCCGTAGTTTCGGAAGCGGTAAAATTCCAAATTCCGTGATTGATTAGCTTACTGCTAAAATAACATACAAAATCAAATAATTTCTTTTCCATGGGGGAAAGATCAGAGTCCTTACTCTTTTTGTTTGATAGGCGTCGCATCATATCTAAAAATACGGTTATGAAGTTAAAATACGCCTCAGGTGGCATCACACATGCACTACATCACTTTCATCTTAATTATCCTACGGAATCAAGTCAATGCTTCCATCCTGCCAAGAGGATTAATGGAGCATAGCATTGAAAGTCGTGAACAATTTCCGACCAGGAGATATGCCATTGCTAAATAAGCAGGTATCCAAGAGCGGCAGTGGGTAATGATGTGATGGTATCACATGGATGAAATGGCTGCAAATGCAGAGGAGAGACAATCACGCCATGCACATGATTGAGTGCATCGCTGCTGCTGATTTTAGGCCATGGCCGCAAAGCCTCGGATTTAGTTAATGAAACAAAGGAATACTCGTTTTCCATATGCTGATGACTTAATGAAAGGCACTTCAGATGACCATCAAAGCATTAGATTGTATGTTTTACTGTTACCTCTTCTTTGAAGATTCGAAATGCATACATCTCATTTTGTTTGGTATTATATGGCTTTGCAACTCGTGAAAAAGTTCATCAGGATTCCAATTAATGCGCCATTAATATTTCAATTTCTCTGTCCATTTTCTTAACGGCCCCCTGGTGTATTAAAGTTGCCGTCTGGTTTTAAAGTCACCTAAGGGAACACTAACCACATTTGATTATTTTTACGTTGTAATGCATATTATCCACTTCTTCTCTAAAGCTAGTGAAACAGTGTCATTCAAGTCTTGTATTCTAAGAATCCAGTTAAATCTTGCAGTATAATGTGAGTAATATGGATTATTAAACCAGTAAACAAACTTAAAACAGTACATTAATATCGTTTCAGATTCAGCATTCACTGGGTTCGGAGTAATTTAAAAAGGATTCGTTACAATACTTGGAACAAAACTTCGCTCTGTCAAAAATACAATTTCGCAATAACCGTTACGTGTCTTCGAAAGGAGGTCCATAAACTGCCTGTAAAAACAAAAAGAGCGGGTTTCGGTTTTCTTCCTTAACCCCTCCTGCGGCACATGCGCACACGCAGGCGTTCCGTTGAATGGAGGAAGATCAAAGGCACTCGCGAGCTGCCGTAACAGGCCATTTAAAGGCATTCAACATAATCGCTATAGGTAGGTGGATGAGAAAAATATGAAGTCGGCAGTTCCAACCTTTAGATTAACAGGAACACTTTGTTAATCAAGCAAAGTCAGAAGAATTTGCTTTTTTCTCTATCAATTTAACATTTTCGGTATTTTTATTCACACATCCTAGAAAGGCATCAGGTAATAAGCACTGATGATCACACTTTATTCAAATATAATAGAGAGTTTAAGAGTTTTTGCACTTTCGAGAAGTGCAAATTCCAACTCGCACTTTCAATTTAGCGTGTGCAACATCTTGTGAAAAGCCAGGATCCGAGGCAGGACTTGCTAAAGGCACACATAAGTAGTACAGAACAAATGACTTAGAGCATTTTTGCCTATGAATCTGGTAGTCATGGTAAAGGTTGTTATCATAGGCTAAGTCGAAATGTATATTGTTCCTTGGTCGAGAAAAAGCGTCGTATTTTATTTGTCAAACATGCGATAAGGAGTTCAACTTTGATGAACACACTAGATGCAGATTTTCTACTTGCTGGCTCACACGTTCTCATACTTCCAGCCGGCGCCTCTACGGATGGCCTTGAAAGAAGACTGCTGTCCAGTTTCATCTTACACGCGCACACACCGGCGGGCTGGGCCCTCCCGGCCTACCCTCGCAGAAGGACAATTTACTAAGATGATGACACTGATGACGGTGATGGTGATGCAGGGGAGGGGGACACCAGAGAAGAATACAAACTGCTCCAGGTGGTTGCCGTAGTTACTCACGCGTGAGGAGCCCATATC